CAATGCATCAAAGGATTCAAGATGGAGAATATATTGGGTTCAAACAAAGGAGATATTAAGCGCATGAAAGAAATCGGATAAGGAGTCATAGTTTCTCACCTGGAGTCCAACGCTAGTAATATAGAAGTGCTATAGAAGCATCTTTAAGCTTTAAGGTTTCTATTGATGGGACCTGATCGTCGAGATTCCACCTTTAAGGACTCCGTTCAATTAATTCTTTGAAGGACCAACCGCTGAAATTCGACTCTGGACAGCTCGTCTTCTTCGACCTATTCCGACCACCACCACCGATGTGAAGCTGACCTCTTATGGTTTATACCAGTGCCTCTTGATTCTCAAAACTCTGTTCATAAAACGTTGCAGCACTTCCTTTGAATGAATCAATTCGGGCTTTCATCTTTCACCTCTCAATTTTTCAACCTAAACTTGATTACACCAAACCCTCACTTGGAAACTCGATAATTCCGATTAACTTATGTGATTCCAGCCAAGACTCCGATAGAGAGAATGGCGGAGATTTCTACACTCTTCCCTCCTTAAAAGAATCTGGTCCCCAGATTCTCAACTATTATTCGAACATGGAAACACAATTTCCTAAAATTATCTTATTGATCATCCGTCGCTTCTTCAACTTGGTGGTTTCTCCATAATACCTTCAAGTCTTGTGATTGAGGAATTCGTTATCAAGAGGAATACACTTATGCGGGTAGTCTCTAGGAGGTTGGTTCCGAAATAGGGATCAATCCCTATTTATATGATAAGTTATTCCCAAGCTACGGTTGCTTCAAGGAAGAGTACCTGAGATTGATCGAAATAGTGTTAACTTAGTCCTTCAAACCTCTACGAATTATTTCCATGACAATCAGTATCTTCCCAATCTTAGAATTGACTTGGATAACGAGTCAAACTGTTATCGTAACGAATTCGGAAACACTACTTCAAATACAATATGAGGTAGTAATAGGAAGTCTGCTTGTGGAACCTTAATATCCGCGGCCCCATTAGCAATATCGTACAGTTCATCGGTCTCATACTCGATGTAGTCTTACTGTTGAGCAGGATTCTAAATATTTATAACGTTCTAGAAGTTGAAGGCCGAGATACGGTTCGTCAACCAATTAATGGGACTTGTGAGGTACATCAACTATGAGGAAACAATCGAGTTAGGGTTGTACCTAGGAGTCCGACAAATGGTCTGCTGAGAGGAATGAAATGAATTAATAAGGGTCTGATATCGTTCGAAACTTTAAATCTCTCCCTAGTTACCCGTGTCACATTCTTCAAGAGAACGTGTTTCTTCTCGTCCGTTTCGCTCGAACTTATGCGATCTAAAATAATGACTTTCCTCTGTTTTTATTATTTATTTTTTTTATTTTTTTTATTTTTTTTTTCTTTTAAGCACTCACAGATCCATTTTACCAGATATATCGGTGTGCTGATTGTGCGAGTTCTTCACTCCATAGCAGCCCAACCTCCATATGTTGGCACCACAATACCCCATAACAAAGGATTTTCATCAGCCAATCG